GAGAAGCAATCCATGCTTTGGTTTTGTTTACCTGCAACTGTCTCCAAATGCTGACATTTGTGCCCCAAATCCTATACAAGTGAATATCCCTAACATAATATGTTGTGTTTCATGTCCAAATCATCGTTATCTATACTGAACAAAAATATAAACACAACAATTTCAACGATTTTACTGAGTTACAGTTCATATAAGGAAATCAGTCAATTGAAATAAATAAATTAGGCCCTAATCTATGGATTTCACATGAATGGGCAGGAGCGCAGCCATAGCTGGGCCTGGGAGGGCATAGGCCCACACACTGGGGAGCCAGGCCCAGCCAATCTGGAGTTTTTCCCCACAAAGGGGCTTTATTACAGACAGAAATACTCCTCAGTTCATCAGCTGTCCAGGTGACTGCCAAATTCTCTAAAATGACGTTGGAGGCGGCTTATGGTAGAGAAAAACATTCAAGTCTCTGGCAATAGCTCTGGTGGACGTTCCTGCAGTCAGCATGCCAATTGCACGCTCCCTTAAAACTTGAGACATCTGTGGCATTGTGTTGTGTAAAACTGCACATTTTAGAGTGGCCTTTTATTGCCCCCAGCACAAGGGGCACCTGTGTAATGATATTGCTGTTTAGTCAGCTTCTTGATATGCCACACCTGTCGGGTGGATAGATTATCTTGGCAAAGGAGAAATGCTCACTAACAGGGATGTAAACAAATTTGTGCACAACATTTGAGAGAAAAAAGCCTTTTGTGCGTATGGAAAATTTCTGGGATCTTATTTCAGACCAACACATGGGACCAACACTTTACATGTTGCGTTTTATATTTTTGTTCAGTATAAAAGACGTGTAATGACGTAGTAATTTCAACTTAACCCAGCTGGTGACTAAGCCTACACGGCCCAACCCTAAAGATCCTTCAAAGTCAACTCTGATTGATCTTATCTTAACGAATACACCCAGAGAAATATGTTTCTACTGTTTTCTTCGCCCAAGACATTAGTGACCATTGCCCAGTTGTTTCTGTTAAAGATGTGAGAAAACAAAAATCTAAGTATTGTGTGATCACAAAGAGGAACTTTAAAAACTTTAGTGAACAGGCTTTTTTACATTATCTTTATTTTAGTGGCCTTGATTGTATTTCAGCTATCCCGGAACCTGATTTAGCTTTCAGACGTTTTCTTCAATACTATTGTGGATAATCATGCTCCCTTCAAAGAATTAAGGGTTAAAGGTAGATCCAATGCCTGGTACACTCTGTAATTATCAGAAGTAATTCATAAAAAAGTTGATGCTTAGGTCAAGGCCAAGAACACAGGCTTAGCCCCGGATTGGGAAGCTTTTAAGCAACTGAGGAATCATTGTGTAAACCGCTCATTCGAATTGTAATGGGAACCCGGCTAAATTCTGGAAAACTGTCAAATCCCTGAAGGGTTCTACTTCCTCATCTCTGCCACAACAAATTAATTCAGATACTGGCCTCATGTGGACGTGTCAAAAACTTTTGATACTGTTGATCATGCTATTTTATTGAATAAGTTGTCCTCGATAGGCCTGAGCTCTGACGCCTGTTCATGGTTTCATGATTATCTTAGTGACAGAACTCAGGCCATGGTGATTGAGGGGGTTAAGTCTAAATTACTTGAAGTGCATAAAGGTTTACCACGGGTCGATTTTTAGGACCTATTCTCTTCACTATTTATATAAACACCGTTGGTCAATCTGTTAAAAATTGTCAACTTCATCTATATGCGGATGATACTATTATTTATGCTATTGCCCCGACTGTTGATCTGGCTGTGTCAAAACTACAGTCAGATTTTAAAGCTATGCGGGAATCCCTTGGTGATTTTAAAACCTGTGTTTTAATACAGGCAAAATGGAATACATGTTGTTTTCAAACTCTCGTAAGAATGTTTCAGATGAACTACATGTTCACTCATTAGATGATTCTCCAATCGAACGTGTTTCCCGTATAAAAATACTTAGGCATTTGGATTGATATGGATTTGACCTTTAAAAAACATATAAACTCATCAAAATAAGAAACGTCCCCTTTCAGGACCCTGTCTTTCAAAGATAATTTGTAAAAATCCAAATAACTTCACAGATCTTCATTGTAAAGGGTTTAACACTGTTTCCCATGCTTGTTCAATGAACCATAAACAATGAATGAACATGCACCTGTGGAACGGTCGTTAAGACACTAACAGCTTACAGACGGTAGGCAATTAAGGTCACAGTTATGAAAACTTCGGACACTAAAGAGGCCTTTCTACTGACTCTGGAAAACACCAAAAGAATGATGCCCAGGGTCCCTGCTCATCTGCGTGAATTTCCTGCAAGACAGGAATGTCAGTGTTCTGCCATGGCCAATGAAGAGCCCGGATCTCAATCCCATTGAGCACATCTGGGACCTGTTGGATCGGAGGGTGAGCGCTAGGGCCATTCCCCCCAGAAATGTCTGGGAACTTGCAGGTGCCTTGGTGGAAGTGTGGGGTAACATCTCACAGCAAGAACTGGCAAATCTGGTGCAGTCCATGAGGAGGAGATGCACTGCAGTACTTAATGCAGCTGGTGGTCACACAAGATACTGACTGTTACTTTTAGATTTTGACCCCCCTGCTTAGTTCAGGGACACATTATACAATTTCTGTTAGTCACATGTCTGTGGAACTTGTTCAGTTTATGTCTCAGTTGTTGAATCTTGTTATGTTCATACAAATATTTACACATGTTAAGTTTGCTGAAAATAAACGCTGTTGACAGTTAGAGGACATTATTTTTTTGCTGAGTTCAGATGAGCTGGTTAAGAAGCTAAGATTTAAAGTTGGCTTTTTCAACAGAAACAGATTGTGCCTTTCTTTTAAGTAGTAGGAAGCAGATTATTCAGTCAAACTTTTTTATCTGTTCTTGATTATGATTATATTATTTATCAAAGTGCAGCTGCTACTACTGTTAAACCTTAGGATGCCATCTACCGTTGTGCCCTTCGTTTTGTTACAGGTGACAGTTTTGATACTCATCACTGCATCCTGTATCAAAAGGTTGGCTGGACTTTGCTAAAGACTCATAGATCTCTACATTACTCCCTTTTTTGTTTACAAGGCCCTACTTCATAAACGTCCATCTTATCTAACTTTGCTGTTGCAGTATAGACACCTGAGTTGCCTAACCCCTTCACAGGATTGGTTAACTCGAGGTTCCTAGGGTCTCCACCGAGCTAGGTAAATCTGCTTTTAGTTTTAATGCACCGTATTGCTGGAACAAAATTCAAAATACATTTAATCTTGATGTTCTGGTGCCGTTCGGGCCATTTTAAAGTATTGATAAGGGACTTATTTGTGGAGGAATGTAACTGTTTTTCTGGGTGATTTGTGATGTTTTATTTGTGCTTCCCATTACTGTGTTTTTGTATTTTAATGTGTATATGTTTAGGTATAATGTGTATATTTATGCTGTGTGTGTGTGTATAGAGTCGTGGTCAAAAGTTTTGAGAATGACACAAATATTAATTTTCACAAAGTCTGCTGCCTCAGTTTGTATGATGGCAATTTGCATATACTCCAGAATGTTATGAAGAGTGATCAGATGAATTGCAAAGTCCCTCTTTTCCATGAAAATGAACTTAATCCCCCAAAAAAACATTTCCACTGCATTTCAGTCCTGCCACAAAATGACCAGCTGACATCATGTCAGTGATTCTCTCGTTAACACAGGTGAGAGTGTTGACGAGGACAAGGCTGGAGATCCCTCTGTCATGCTGATTGAGTTAGAATAACAGACTGGAAGCTTTAAAAGGAGGGTGGTGCTTAAAATCATTGTTCTTCCTCTGTTAACCATGGTTACCTGCAAGGAAACATGTGCTGTCATCATTGCTTTGCACAAAAAGGGCTTCACAGGCAAGGATATTGCTGCTAGTAAGATTGAACCTAAATCAACCATTTATCGGATCATCAAGAACTTCAAGGAGAGAGGTTATATTGTTGTGAAGAAGGCTTCAGGGCGCCCAAGAAAGTCCAGCAAGCACCAGGACCGTCTCCTAAAGTTGATTCAGCTGCGGGATCGGGGCACCACCAGTGCAGAGCTTGCTCAGGAATGGCAGCAGGCAGTTGTGAGTGCATCTGAACGCACAGTGAGGCGAAGACCTTTGGAGGATGGCCTGGTGTCAAGAAGGGCAGTGAGGAAGCCACTTCTCTCCAGGAAAAACATCAGGGAAAGACTGATATTCTGCAAAAGGTACAGGGATTGGACTTCTAAGGACTGGGGTAAAGTCATTTTCTCTGATGAATCCCCTTTCCGATTGTTTGGGGCATCCGGAAAAAAGGGTGGGGGTGGGGGGAATGGGACAAGGGCAGTGTTGGGGAAAAAGTACCCAATTTTCATACTTGAGTAAAAGTAAAGATACCTTAATAGAAAATGACTCAAGTGAAAGTCACCCAGTAAAATACTACTTGAGTATAAGTATTTGGTTTTAAATATACTTATGTATCAAAAGTAAAAGTATAAATCATTTAAAATTCCTTATATTAAGCAAACTAGACATTTTCTTGTTTTTATAATTTACAGATAGCCAGGGGCACTCTCCAAAACTCAGACATAATTTACAAACGAAGCATTTGTGTTTAGTGAGTCTGCCAGATCAGAGGCAGTAGGGGTGACCAAGGATGTTCTCTTGATAAGTGTGTGAATTTGACCATTTTCCTGTCATGCTAACTAAGTATTCAAAATGTAATGAGTAGTAAAGTAAAAGTTGTAAAAAATATAAATAGTAAGGTAAAGTACAGATACCCCAAAAAACTACTTAAGTAGTACTTTAAAGTATTTTTACTTATGTACTTTACACCACTGGACAAGGGACTACCTGTCCTGAACTTATCCCATAAGAACACTCTGGTTATGTCCCAAATTGTACCTTATTTCCTATATAGTGCACTAGGAAATAGGGGTACCATTTGGGATGCAGCCTCTGCCTTGAAAATCCAACCTGTTGGTATTGTCTTCCCTGTAGCTGTGCTGGTTTATGAGCGAGCCTGGATGACCGTGATGGAGGAGGCTGCCACTCGGCTGGAGAGGGAGCATGTGCACAGCGTCTACGAGAAGATTGCTCCCTATTTTAACGACAGCCGCTACAAGGCCTGGCCCAAGGTGCGCCAGTTCCTACTTGAGCATGAGCCTGGCAGTATCATCGCTGATGTGGGTATGTATGCTACTGTGTCTGTTCTACTGCTGATGGACATGCATTAAGTCTCTATCTGTCTTAATACTGGCCTCTGTCTGCCCTACCACGGACTATCTGTGGTGGCCTGAGTTTAATTGAAACTAACAAAAAGGCCAATAACCACATACTCTGCCTATGGCTGTGGCGGTCACGAAATTTAGTCAGCCGTTGATTGTCAAGCAAATAACTGTCAGTCTCACGGTAATTGACCGTTAATGAACATAAACACATTTCGAGTCTCCTGGCTTCCACACATAGCCTACAAGCCATTTTAAATAGTCTAATGAATCCATGTAATATAGCCTACACCTTCACAATAAATCCATTATTTATTTTAGACAGGTCTAAAGAAGCATGATGTGAAGAAAATGTAGACTATTTCAGAAGAAAAGAATAGCAAACTCTGAATTGTCCATACAGTGAGGGAAACAAGTATTTGATCCCCTGCTGATTTTGTACGTTGGCCCACTGACAAAGACATGATCAGTCTATAATTTTAATGGTAGGTTTATTTGAACAGTGAGAGACAGAATAACAACAAACAAATCCAGAAAAATGCATGTCAGAAATGTTATAAATTGATTTGCATTTTAATGAGGGAAATAAGTATTTGACCCCTCTGCAAAACATGACTTAGTACTTGGTGGCAAAACCCTTGTTGGCAATCACAGAGGTCAGACGTTTCTTGTAGTTGGCCACCAGGTTTGCACACATCTCAGGATGGATTTTGTCCCACTCCTCTTTGCAGATCTTCTCCAAGTCATTAAGGTTTCGAGGCTGACGTTTGGCAACTCGAACCTTCAGCTCCCTCCACAGATTTTCTATGGGATTAAGGTCTGGAGACTGGCTAGGCCACTCCAGGACCTTAATGTGCTTCTTCTTGAGCCACTCCTTTGTTGCCTTGGCCATGTGTTTTGGGTCATTGTCATGCTGGAATACCCATACACGACCCATTTTCAATGACCTGGCTGAGGGAAGGAGGTTCTCACCCAAGATTTGACGGTACATGGCCCCGTCCATCGTCCCTTTGATGCAGTGAAGTTGTCCTGTCCCCTTAGCAGAAAAACACCCCCAAAGCATAATGTTTCCACCTCCATGTTTGACGGTGGGGATGGTGTTCTTGGGGTCATAGGCAGCATTCCTCCTCCTCCAAACACGGCGAGTTGAGTTGATGCCAAAGAGCTCGATTTTGGTCTCAACTGACCACAACACTTTCACCCAGTTCTCCTCTGAATCATTCAGATGTTCATTGGCAAACTTCAGACGGGCCTGTATATGTGCTTTCTTGAGCAGGGGGAAATTGCGGGCGCTGCAGGATTTCAGTCCTTCACGGCGTAGTGTGTTACCAATTGTTTTCTTGGTGACTATGGTCCCAGCTGCCTTGAGATCATTGACAAGATCCTCCCGTGTAGTTCTGGGCTGATTCCTCACCGTTCTCATGATCATTGCAACTCCACGAGGTGAGATCTTGCATGGAGCCCCAGGCCGAGGGAGATTGACAGTTATTTTGTGTTTCTTCCATTTGTGAATAATCGCACCAACTGTTGTCACCTTCTCACCAAGCTGCTTGGCGATGGTCTTGTAGCCCATTCCAGACTTGTGTAGGTCTACAATCTTGTCCCTGACATCCTTGGAGAGCTCTTTGGTCTTGGCCATGGTGGAGAGTTTGGAATCTGATTGATTGATTGCTTCTGTGGACAGGTGTCTTTTATACAGGTAACAAGCTGAGATTAGGAGCACTCCCTTTAAGAGTGTGCTCCTAATCTACCCTCGTTACCTGTATAAAAGACACCTGGGAGCCAGAAATCTTTCTGATTGAGAGGGGGTCAAATACTTATTTCCCTCATTAAAATGCAAATCAATTTATAACATTTTTGACATGTGTTTTTGGTTACAAAGAAATAGGTACTCCTATATGCTTAATTTAGAGTTATTAATGTAACTTTAGTTGTTCTACAAATGTTGGGCTATTTGTTTTGATTTGTAATACATTGTAAGGCTGCATGATGAGACCTAATGATGATTTGAAAAAAGTTGCTTGAAAGGCATGAGCTCTGCTTTGTTTTTTGCGCAGGCTGTACACATTCTAATAGTCTCTCATTCACAATTTCACAATCTCTTGATAATGGCTCGAATTTCACGGCGGCATCCCCTTTGTGGCCGTAATGCACCCTAAAAAAATCCATGCCTTTTGAGGCACGGAGTGCTGCGTTGTGTCCTTCTCCCTGAGTGCTGCGCAATCCGAAGTGCCTCTCACTCACATGGCTCTCCATCACGTGATCACAGGCTACAAGTGAAGACAGACACATCGGGGACGCAACTGCGTGTGTCCTTATCCAATTCCGAGGTGCATATTGAAGATATTGGAAGAACTGTCCACATTTACTTTTCGTCAGCCAACAAGATGAGTAGCGAACAGCAAACGAACAGCAAAAGCACTAGCCTATGTCAATCTACTATTCCCCCATAGCACAAAAGTCTACCTATTCTGTGTGCAAATTTTTTTAAATAATAGTCTGGGACAGTTGTGAGATGCGATAGATCCCAAATTAATACAACCACTAGCATCAAAACATTTTTTTATGCAATGTGGCTGACGCAACAGATCAGAACGTTTAGCTTAAAATGTTGAAAAACTATTAGGCTATTTCTTCACATTATAAGCGCAGCAATGTGCACATGGTAGTAGGCTATAAGAGTGAATGTTCCATTAGCGGAAAAAACACCATTAGCAAAAGTGACCGCAAATGCAATTATGCATGTAATGCTTTTATTATTAAGGTGCATTTTTATGGTGAAAATTATCTTCCCCAAACTTGAAACTCACGTGCTACATGACTATGATTTAAAAAAAGTTGCAAAAAAAGGCTTTATTTCTTTACATTCACAAGTGATAATATATAATTCACAAGTGATAGGCTAATATTGTCACCCATCAGACTATTCTTGATTTAATCTTGTCTTTACATATACTAAATAATATATTTGTGACATTTGTTTTGATTTAGAATGGACCATTATCATGCACCTGTCTCTAAACAGGGGAAGCGGGAAAAAATACATGTCATCTATGCACTTAAATAGCGAATGGAGGACGCTTTTCCCCGTGGTTTATTTTCATGCAGGTAGGCTATACTCCTGTTGTAAATATAAGCAATGTGCTTAATATTAGGAAAGTTGAGAAATAAATATAGTAGGCCTAGCCTATAGAAGGCTGATGGGATCCTCCTCTTTTTATTAGCGGGCCATCACTCTGTTTTCACCCGCAATTGCATAGCCTATAGAAATGTTGCGCAACATGAGCTCATGGGCTCTCATGAAGTGTTTGATTAGATTCGAATACATTTGAATTGATGTCAGAGTGATTTAGAGGGACAATAGAGTGCTGAGTACCAGGCAGTTAGCAAGTTTGGTAGGCTACTAATGACCAGCAGCAGCATCAGAGCTTGGAGAAGCCTAATTACCGTGATCAAATAAAATAAAATGTTATTTGTCACATGCACCGAATACAAAAGTGAAATGCTTACTTACAAGCCCTTAACCAACAATGCAGTTTTAAGAAAAATAAGTGTTAAGTAAACAATAGATAAGTAAAAAATAAAAGCAGTAAAATAACAGTAAAAATAACAGTTGTGAGGCTATATACAGTGGGGGGAAAAAGTATTTAGTCAGCCACCAATTGTGCAAGTTCTCCCACTTAAAAAGATGAGAGAGTCCTGTAATTTTCATCATAGGTACACGTCAACTATGACAGACAAAATGAGAAAAAGAATTCCAGAAAATCACATTGTAGGATTTTTAATGAATTTATTTGCAAATTATGGTGGAAAATAAGTATTTGGTCAATAACAAAAGTTTCTCAATACTTTGTTATATACCCTTTGTTGGCAATGACACAGGTCAAACGTTTTCTGTAAGTCTTCACAAGGTTTTCACACACTGTTGCTGGTATTTTGGCCCATTCCTCCATGCAGATCTCTCTAGAGCTGTGATGTTTTGGGGCTGTCGCTGGGCAACACAGACTTTCAACTCCCTCCAAAGATTTTCTATGGGGTTGAGATCTGGAGACTGGCTAGGCCACTCCAGGACCTTGAAATGCTTCTTACGAAGCCACTCCTTCGTTGCCCGGGCGGTGTGTTTGGGATCATTGTCATGCTGAAAGACCCAGCCACGTTTCATCTTCAATGCCCTTGCTGATGGAAGGAGGTTTTCACTCAAAATCTCACGATACATGGCCCCATTCATTCTTTCCTTTACACGGATCAGTCGTCCTGGTCCCTTTGCAGAAAAACAGCCCCAAAGCATGATGTTTCCACCCCCATGCTTCACAGTAGGTATGGTGTTCTTTGGATGAAACTCAGCATTCTTTGTCCTCCAAACACGACGAGTTTAGTTTTTACCAAAAAGTTCTATTTTGGTTTCATCTGACCATATGACATTCTCCCAATCCTCTTCTGGATCATCCAAATGCACTCTAGCAAACTTCAGACGGGCCTGGACATGTACTGGCTTAAGCAGGGGGACATGTCTGGCACTGCAGGATTTGAGTCCCTGGCGGCGTAGTGTGTTACTGATGGTTGGCTTTGTTACTTTGGTCCCAGCTCTCTGCAGGTCATTCACTAGTTCCCCCCGTGTGGTTCTGGGATTTTTGCTCACCGTTCTTGTGATCATTTTGACCCCACGGGGTGAGATCTTGCGTGGAGCCCCAGATCGAGGGAGATTATCAGTGGTCTTGTATGTCTTCCATTTCCTAATAATTGCTCCCACAGTTGATTTCTTCAAACCAAGCTGCTTACCTATTGCAGATTCAGTCTTCCCAGCCTGGTGCAGGTCTATAATTTTGTTTCTGGTGTCCTTTGACAGCTCTTTGGTCTTGGCCATAGTGGAGTTTGGAGTGTGACTGTTTGAGGTTGTGGACAGGTGTCTTTTATACTGATAACAAGTTCAAACAGGTGCCATTAATACAGGTAACGAGTGGAGGACAGAGGAGCCTCTTAAAGAAGAAGTTACAGGTCTGTGAGAGCCAGAAATCTTGCTTGTTTGTAGGTGACCAAATACTTATTTTCCACCATAATTTGCAAATAAATTCATTAAAAATCCTACAATGTGATTTTCTGGAATTTTTTTCTCATTTTGTCTGTCATAGTTGACGTGTACCTATGATGAAAATTACAGGCCTCATCTTTTTAAGTGGGAGAACTTGCACAGTTGGTGGCTGACTAAATACTTTTTTTCCCCACTGTATATTATCATTTGCAATGGATGTTTAAAAAAACACTTTCCTACATTTCCGCACGCTCCCTCAACATTATCAGGACAGAGAAACCAGACACATGCTCAATGCTCACATGGAGCTCTCCAAACAAAAGACGGGGGACCGGTATGATTAAAAAAATAACAATTATGTATGCACTCACTAACTGTAAGTCGCTCTGGATAAGAGCGTCTGCTAAATGACTAAAACAATGAAAACAATGACCAATCTCATAAATGATGGTTATGAAATTAACCAAAACGTATTTCTCACAAGTGTAGCAGGTTGTGAACTGTGCAAACAACGTTTCCACTGAGAACGGTAAATGACTGTAATTAATACATGCATTAACAGAAATTAATGTAACCAAATGACAGGGATTAACGTTACATTTACTACTGGTGATTTATGTAATAAAAAAAGTATTTAAAGGCAAACAATTCACACAATGAAACAATGAATGCTCAAGAATTGGCGGGAGACAGCTGAGCCATTCTGGAGAGAGGCTTGCCTATATCTTCAGCACACACCCCTCCCTTTCTTGTCTCTACATTTTAAATTAAACTCAAGACACATTATCTTCACACACATTTTGGATGCCACAAAGGTAGTGCACAGTCAAGCAAAGGGTGCCATTTCATATTGGCCTCATGCATGTCTTTCTCCTGGGGTTTACATCTAGGCTGCGTCCTGATTCTCTGCCCTTCTCCCAAAGGGTGCACAGATTAAACAATGGTGGAAACTCCCTCCAGCCAATTCTTACACCAATCCAATTCTTTGAAAGCTTTGATGGCGAGTGAGCAAGTGCTCACTTTTGGAAAAGGGTGGAGAATCGGGACTGGGACCTGGTGTTTGTTGTTGATTGTCTGCCCTCATCCCCATCACAGGCTGTGGCAATGGCAAGTACCTGCACATCAACGGCAGTGTGTTCAAGCTGGGCTGTGACGTGTGTCGCCCCCTGGTGGACTCCGCCTGGAGCCAGGGCCACGAGGTGCAGCTGTGTGACAGCCTCAGGCTGCCCTACAGGGACAGCTGCTTTGACGGTGTCCTCTCTATCGCAGGTAGGCCTATACTTCACTCAACATGGGAGGGTAGTGGCCTGTGTGGTCTAGCGGTTAGTGTGTCTGACCCCGGTTCAATCGGAATGGGTTTGAATCCGGCCAACTGGCTTGCATTCTGACTCACACTACTGCTACCATTAATGTCTTCTTTTTACTGTCCCCCTCACTCCCCCTCGGGCCTAACCCTAAAATGTTTGCATATCGGAAGGGTCTGGATAGGTATAAGCAGTGCTTGACTTGGGGTAAAATAAGTGCAGGAGCTGTCTTTTTCCAAGTCGGTCCATTAGACTATGTTCACCGAAATTCACAAATGACATTATGCTATAGAGACCTCTGGTTATTCACTGTTAAGGATTTATACAGATTTTTCATGATTATTATTATAGCCTACATGAAAAAGTAAGCATTATTGACACTGGAAGGCTGCTGTGTCTGATCCCATGTTGGCCTACCATCTCCTTCCATTGTGCCCTTGATCGTCACTTACACCCCCCCCCCCCCCCCCCCCCCCCCCCAAGTAGAACTGCACCGTTAGTCACATGTTGTCAACATGTGGTCAACCCTCCATCTGGAGAGCTCCTGGGTGTGCAGGCTTGGCTTTTGATCCAGCCCTGAAACACCCAAGTCTCCTTATCAAGGTCCTGTTGAGCAGCTGATGCTAATGCTACAATGTGGTTAGACCAGGGCAGGAACAAAAGCCTGAACACCCAGTAGCTATCCTGGAGGATGGTTGCCACCCTCAGTGGTGGAAAAAGTACCCAATTGTCATACTTGAGTAAAAGTAAAAATATCTTAAAAGAAAATGACTAAAGTAAAAGTGAAAATCACCCAGTAAAATACTACTTGAGTAAAAGTCTAAAAGTATTTGGTTTTAAATATACTTAAGTATCAAAAGTAAATGTAATTGTAAAATATACTCAAGTATCAAAAGTAAAAGTATAAATCATTTCAAATTCCTTATATTTAACAAAGCAGACGGCACCATTTTCTTGTTTTTAAAATGTACGGATAGACAGGTGCAGACTCCAACACTCAGACATTATTTACAAAATATGTATTTGTTTAGTGAGTCCGCCAGACAATAGGCAGTAAGGATGACCACGTGTTCTCTTGATAAGTGCACACACAAACACGCACTGAAGGGTCATTACAATAATGGCTGATATGTAGATTTTTAAGTGATTGATCATATTTAAAAGTGTGCTATCATGAATTACATTAACAAAAATTATTAAACTCATTTCCATTACTTTACAAACCCTCAAAATAAAGAAGAACCCTGGAATGAGTAGGTGTGTCCAAACTTTTGACGGGTACTACAGTGGGGAAAAAAAGTATTTAGTCAGCCACCAATTGTGCAAGTTCTCCCACTTAAAAAGATGAGAGAGGCCTGTAATTTTCATCATAGGTACACGTCAACTATGACAGACAAATTGAGGGAAAAAAATCCAGAAAATCACATTGTAGGATTTTTAATGAATTTATGTGCAAATTATGGTGGAAAATAAGTATTTGGTCACCTACAAACAAGCAAGATTTCTGGCTTTCACAGACCTGTAACTTCTTCTTTAAGAGGCTCCTCTGTCCTCCACTCGTTACCTGTATTAATGGCACCTGTTTGAACTTGTTATCAGTATAAAAGACACCTGTCCACAACCTCAAACAGTCACACTCTGAACTCCACTATGGCCAAGACCAAAGAGCTGTCAAAGGACACCAGAAACAAAATTGTAGACCTGCACCAGGCTGGGAAGACTGCATCTGCAATAGGTAAGCAGCTTGGTTTGAAGAAATCAACTGTGGGAGCAATTATTAGGAAATGGAAGACATACAAGACCACTGATAATCTCCCTCGATCTGGGGCTCCACGCAAGATCTCACCCCGTGGGGTCAAAATGATCACAAGAACGGTGAGCAAAAATCCCAGAACCACACGGGGGGACCTAGTGAATGACCTGCAGAGAGCTGGGACCAAAGTAACAAAGCCTACCATCAGTAACACACTACGCCGCCAGGGACTCAAATCCTGCAGCGCCAGACGTGTCCCCCTGCTTAAGCCAGTACATGTCCAGGCCCGTCTGAAGTTTGCTAGAGTGCATTTGGATGATCCAGAAGAGGATTGGGAGAATGTCATATGGTCAGATGAAACCAAAATAGAACTTTTTGGTAAAAACTCAACTCGTCGTGTTTGGAGGACAAAGAATGATGAGTTGCATCCAAAGAACACCATACCTACTGTGAAGCATGGGGGTGGAAACATCATGCTTTGGGGCTGTTTTTCTGCAAAGGGACCAGGACGACTGATCCGTGTAAAGGAAAGAATGAATGGGGCCATGTATCGTGAGATTTTGAGTGAAAACCTCCTTCCATCAGCAGATGAAACGTGGCTGGGTCTTTCAGCATGACAATGATCCCAAACACACCACCCGGGCAACGAAGGAGTGGCTTCGTAAGAAGTATTTCAAGGTCCTGGAGTGGCCTAGCCAGTCTCCAGATCTCAACCCCATAGAAAATCTTTGGAGGGAGTTGAAAGTCCGTGTTGCCCAGAGACAGCCCCAAAACATCACTGCTCTAGAGGAGATCTGCATGGAGGAATGGGCCAAAATACCAGCAACAGTGTGTGAAAACCTTGTGAAGACTTGCAGAAAACGTTTGACCTGTGTCATTGCCAACAAAGGGTATATAACAAAGTATTGAGAAACTTTTGTTATTGACCAAATACTTATTTTCCACCATAATTTGCAAATAAATTCGTAAAAAATCCTACAATGTGATTTCCTGGATTTTTTTCCCTCATTTTGTCTGTCATAGTTGACGTGTACCTATGATGAAAATTACAGGCCTCTCTCATCTTTTTAAGAGGGAGAACTTGCACAATTGGTGGCTGACTAAATACTTTTTTCCCCCACTGTATATATTTACAGTACTCTTGGCATTCTCTCAACCAGCTTCACCTGGACTAAAGCATCCGCCAACCCCTGGACAGTCTGTGGTGCAACGTGGCGTTGGTGGATGGAGCGAGACATGATGTCCCAGATGTGCTCAATTGGATTCAGGTCTGGGGAACGGGCGGGCCAGTCCATAGCATCAATGCCTTCCTCTTGCAGGAACTGCTGACACACTCCAGCCACATGAGGTCTAGCATTGTCTTGCATTAGGAGGAACCCAGGGCCAACCGCACCAGCATATGGTCTCACAAGGGGTCTGAAGATCTCATCTCGGTACCTAATGGCAGTCAGGCTACCTCTGGCGAGCACATGGAGGGCTGTGCAGCCCCCCAAAGAAATGCCACCCCACACCATGACTGACCCACCGCCAAACCGGTCATGCTGGAGGATGTTGCAGGCAGCAGAACGTTCTCTACGGCGTCTCCAGACTCTGTCATGTCTGTCACATGTGCTCAGTGTGAACCTGCTTTCATCTGTGAAGAGCACAGGGCGCCAGTGGCGAATTTGCCAATCTTGGTGTTCTCTGGCAAATGCCAAACGTCCTGCACGGTGTTGGGCTGTAAGCACAACCCCCACCTGTGGACGTCGGGCCCTCATACCACCTTCATGGAGTCTGTTTCTGACCGTTTGAGCAGACACATGCACATTTGTGGCCTGCTGGAGGTCATTTTGCAGGGCTCTGGCAGTGCTCCTCCTTCTCCTCCTTGCACAAAGGCGGAGGTAGTGGTGCTGCTGCTGGGTTTTTTTCCTCCTACGGCCTCCTCCACGTCTCCTGATGTACTGGCCTGTCTCCTGGTAGCGCCTCCATGCTCTGGACACTACGCTGACAGACACAGCAAACCTTCTTGCCACAGCTCGCATTGATGTGCCATCCTGGATGAGCTGCACTACCTGAGCCACTTGTGTGGGTTGTAGACTCCGTCTCATGCTACCACTAGAGTGAAAGCACCGCCAGCATTCAAAAGTGACCAAAACATCAGCCAGGAAGCATAGGAACTGAGAAGTGGTCTGTGGTCACCACCTGCAGAACCACTTCTTTATTGGGGGTGTCTTGCTAATTGCCTATAATTTCCACCTATTGTCTATTCCATTTGCACAACAGCATGTGAAATGTATTGTCAATCAGTGTTGCTTCCTAAGTGGACAGGTTGATTTCACAGAAGTGTGATTTGACTTGGAGTTACATTGTGTTGTTTAAGTGTTCCCTTTATTTTTTTGAGCAGTGTATATCCTTCATGTCAAAAACATGGGTAGTGTTCAAAAAGGTAAATAACGATTATACCACTTAGCTAAGCTAAGAATGACGTGAATAATCAAGTCAATAAACGTTGGGTAGTTAGATAGCATATAGTTAATATACTGGCAAGTTCGACGATGTATTAGTAGCCAACTAATGTTAGGAAGCTAGCTAACATACCGGTACATACTGCTGTAATGATATGCTATGCGGTTCGTAAGGATAGTTTAGCTAAGAAATTGTCAGCCAACATAACGTGTAACGTAACATAATTGAAAAGTCATTACTTTATTACATTGCTCAACAGTTTCTTAACATTTGTCATAACTAGTTAAAGCAATGAATTTTAATCCGCTCTCGTCGGACTTCAGCTGCATATTTTCCGCCATTTTCTTCAAATCTGAAAGCGTTGTGAAGCCACGCCCATTTTCTGAAGAATTGCATTATGGGCCCTAAAAGTATTGAAATAGTGTCCACTGCTTGTATACTTCATATTTTGGCGAATTTAGTATGACATCCGGGAACTTTTGGCATATTAACTTTATCCATACTATGACCAATAAGCATACTACATACTCAATTTACATCACAATAGTACGGTTAGTGTGGTTAGTATGAGTATTTGAACACAACTTATATCTAATGACGTTCTACTCAATATACTCTTTAAACTAATTTCCTGTATCCCCTTCTCCCTCATACTAGATCTCATCCTCTCTATTTCCCTCTGATACTGCCCACACTGTAGCAATACATGCTCCACGGTCTCTGTTTCCTGGCAATAATCACACTTCCCTGTTGGATGCTTTCCTATCACATTTAAGGTCTTATTCAACAGGCTGTGTCCCACCCTTAATCTTGTAAAAATAGCCTCCTCTCTTCTGTCCCTTCCTGCCGTCCTCCCCTCCCTGACTTTCCTCTGTACAGTGCATTCAGGAAAGTATTCAGACCCCTTGACTTTTTCCACATTTTGTTACGTTACAGCAGGGTTCTTCAATTCCGGTCCTGGAGGGCCGAAACACTTCTGTTTTTTATTTCTACCTGGTAGTTAATTGCACTCACCTGGTGTCCCAGGTCTGAATTAGCCCCTGATTAGAAGGAGAGGATGAAAAACAGAGGTGTTTCGGCCCTCCAGGACCGGAATTGAAGAACCCTGCGTTACAGCCTTATTCTAAAATTGATTTAAATGTTTTTTTCCCTCATCAATCTACACACAATATCCCATAATGACAAAGCAAAAACTGGTTTTTAGAAATGTTTGCAAATTAAAAATAAAGAACAGAAATATCTTATTTACATAAGTATTCAGAACCTTCTCTATGAGACTCGAACTTGAGCTCAGGTGCATCCTGTTTCCATTGATCATCCTTGAGATGATTCTACAACTTGATTGGAATCCACCGGTGGTAAATTCAATTGATTGGACATGATTTGGAAAGGCACACACCTGTCTATATAAGGTCCCACAGTTGACAGTGCATGTCAGAGCAAAAACCAAGCCATGAGGTCGAAGGAATTGTCCGTAGAGCTCAGAGACAGAATTGTGTCGAGGCACAGATCTGGGGAAGGGTACCAAAACATTTCTGCAGCATTGAAAGTCCCCAAGAACACAGTGGCCTCCATCATTCTTAAATGGAAGAAGATTGGAACCACCAAGATTCTTTCTAGAGCTGGCTGCCAGGCCAAATTGAGCAATCGGGAGATAAGGGCCTTGGTCAGGGAGGTGACCAAGAACCCGATGGTCACTCTGAAAGAGCTCCAGAGTTCCTCTGTGGCGATGGGAGAACCTTTCAGAAGGACAACCATTTCTGCAGCACTCCACCAATCAGGCATTTATGGTAGTGGCCAGACAGAAGCCACTCCTCAGTAAAAGGCGCATAACAGCCCGCTTGGAGTTTGCCAAAAGGCACCTAAAGGACTCTCAGACCAGAAGAAACAAGATTCTCTGGTCTGATGAAACCAAGATTGAACTGAATGCCAAGTGTCACGTCTGGAGGAAACCTGGCACCATCCCTATGGTGAAGCATGGTAGTGGCAGCATCATGCTGTGGGGATGTTTTTCAGTGGCAGGGACTGGGAGACTAGTCAGGATCGAGGGAAAGATGAACAGAGCAAAGTACAGAGAGATCCTTGATGAAAACCTGCTCCAGAGCGCTCAGGACCTCAGACTGGGGTGAAGGTTCACCTTCCAACAGGACAACAACCCTAAGCACACAGCCAAGACAACACAGGAGTGGCTTCGGGACAAGTCTCTGAATGTCCTTGAGTGGCCCAGCCAGAGCCCGGATTTGAACCCGATCTTACATCTCTGGAGAGACCTGAAATTAGCTGTGCAGCGACGCTCCCCATCCAACCTGACAGAGCTTGAGAGGATCTGCAGAGAAGAATGGGATAAACTCCCCAAATACAGGGGTGCCAAGCTTGTAGCGTCATACCCAAGAAGACTCGAGGCTGTAATCGCTGCCAAAGGTGCTTCAACAAAGTACTGAGTAAAAGGTCTGAATACTTATGTAAGTGGGTTATTTCCGTTCTTTATTTTTTATACATTTCTAAAAACCAGTTTTTGCTTTGTCATTATGTGGTATTGTGTGTAGATTGATGAGGGGGAAGGCTGTAACGTAACAAAATGTGGAAAAAGTCAAGGGGTCTGAATACTTTCCGAATGCACTGTATCAAGCTTTTTGCCTCGCTCATTGAAACTACAACATCAACATCCACACTGCTAAGTGCTTGTTTAGCCAGTACATCAACTGCCTCGTTCCCCTCCACCCCCACATGGGCTGGGAACCAAGTAAATCTAATCTGTATACCCATCTGTCTAATCCTGCCATGGGTTTGTAGTACCTCATAAAGCAGGTATTGTCTGCTATGTGAGCTAAAGGACTGGAAACTCATCAACACTGCACATGAATCAGAGCAAATAACTACTCTGTCTGGCTTGACTTCCTCCAGCCACTGCAAGGCCAACAGTATGGCCATCAGCTGTGCCGTATATACAGCCAGATGATCTGTAATATGTTTCCTGACTGCCACCCCACATTCCTGCACTACAAATGCTGAGCCAGTACGTCCTGTCCTTGGATCTTTTGAACCATCTGTGTAAATGGCGACAAACTCCTGATACACAGTATCCAGACGTCTCTTAAACAAATCAGATGGATCAACACCCTCCCTATCTTTCTGTAGTCTCTCCAACACTTCTAGATCAACTACTGGAGGCAGGAGTAGCCATGGTGGATTCACAGGAATAGCTACCGTTTGACTAAACTCCCTTCCATACAGTCCCATCTCCTTCGCCTAGGTATTGTCCACCCACCCAAAGCTCGTGTTCTGTCCTCGCTCATGTTCCCAGCATGCCTGTAAAATCCCTTTCGCAGGATGAGACACCCCATGTCCCTGTAGGTTGACCCAATAATTAATTGCCAGCTGCTGTCTCCTAATCTGCAATGGCATATCCCCCATCTCCACCTGTAGTGCAGCCACTGGAGAGGTCCGAAACCCCCCACTACATATATTGAGTCCTTGCCACTGTATGACACCTTTCCAATGAGGTCCGGGCTGCCGAACCATACGCTATACTGCCATAGTCTATTACAGATCGGATCAATGCAACATACATGATCCTCAAGGAGCAACGCCCAGCCCCCCACTCCTTCCCCGTCAGACAGTGCATCACATTTAGCACCTTCTTACACTTTCCCACCACTCTCTCAATGTGTTCTACCCAGGTCAGTCTAGTGTCAAAGTATACCCCAAGGAACCTGAAGGCCCCACCCTCTCCAAGTTTCTCCCATATAACCTCAAGCATGCCTCATCTCCCACCTTCCTCCTGGTAAAGAACACTGTCTGAGTTTTCTCTACAGAGAACCTGAATCCCCACATTAATGCCCACCGCTCTACCTCATCAATTGCTTCCTGTACCTTCCTGACTATGTATGGCACATTTCTTCCCCTCTTCCATAAGGCCCCATCATCTGCAAATAACGACCTCCCAATATCCAGCCATACCTGAGAGTAAACATGATTGAGAACAACAGAGGACTAATCACGCTCCCCTGCGGTGTACCGTTATCCACCAGGTAGCTGCCTGACAGAGACTTCCCCACCCTCACCTGTATAGACCTTCCAAACAGGAAATCCTTTATCCAGTTGTACGTTCTTCCTCCTACCCCCATAATATCAAGCTTGATAAACATCCTCTCCTTCCACATCATATCATACACCTTCTCCACATCAGAAAAGACAGCTACAACAGTCTCCTTGTTCACCTGAGCCTTCCTGACTTCTGCTTCTAAGCAGAACACTGGGTCCATAGTTCCCCTACCCTTCCTGAACCCACTCTGATGTGGCGTTACTAGGCCTCTGCTCTCCAGGAAGTAAGTTAGCCTCTCCGTAATCATACGTTCCATAATCTTACATACATGTGATGTTAAAGCTGTTAGCCGATAGCTTGTTGGCCTCGTTGGGTCCTTCCCTGGCTTCCGGATTGGTACCACTACTGCCTCCTTCCAACTGCCTGGTAGTTTTCCCTCCTCCCACACTCTTGTACAACACCAATACCTTTTCCAGTGCCTCATCACTAAGATGGGCCAACATAACATAGCACACCTCATCTTTCCCAGGTGAAGTTAACCCAGCCTTACCTATTGCCCTTTTCATCTCTGCCATGGTAAATGGTGCATTCAATGCATCATTTACATCCTCCCTCCTATCCAGCACTCCAGGATGCTCCTCTCTCGTGTTCTCTCTCCCCCTTTGCCCCTCTGACAAATTTGCCGAGCTATGCACTTGGACAAACGCTTTGGCCATCATCTATGCCCTCTCCTGATCTGTTACTGCCACATCCTCCCCACTCATCAACACTGGATAATCCCACTCCCCTCTGACCCCACTCATCGTCTTAATCATCCCCCACACTTCTCCCACAGGTGTCGCCCTTCCAATGGTGTCACAGAACCGACGGCAACATGACCTCTTTGCCTGACGGATAGTTCTCCTCACCTGGGCCTGCTTATACTGAATCAGATGTTGGAAGTTATGCGTCCTTTTCAGGAACTGCGCAATCTCAAACAGCCTACTGTCACGCAGATTCACAGACTAGCAGCAAATAAACTTGAACAAAACGGAATCAGGAACTGAATGCCCACTCTCCATTGCTATTCAGTGCAGATCCAGCCTTCGTTCCGCTCTGATCAATCAATCAAATGTATTTATAATGCCCTTTTTACATCAGCAGATGTTACAAAGTGCTATACAGAAACACAGCCTAAAACCTAAAACAGCAACCTTTTTTGCCTCCGTGAGTGAATCTGGGCCGGCGATAGGCTACTTTGTTTTATAGAGGAGCCGATATGCAATTCCCCAAAAATGTGAAGTGCCGGTACGGCGCTCTGGACAGCTCCGGCCCAAGTCAAGCACTGTGGTAGGGAGTGAATTGGGACCCAGTGTTAGACTAACGGGTCACTTGATTCAATTCAATTAAAAAAGCTTTGTATATCTAATTTACATTTGAAAATTGTCTTTGGCATGAGGCTCACATGCAACACATTAATTTATCAATTTCTCACTTTTAAATTCATGATATATAGCCATTGATTATTGATGAATTTAACGTATGCATGCCTCATGAGCTTAGTTCAACTGTCGTACCCCATCACCCCAAATATAAGCTTGTTTTACTCCATTGGTTGTAAATGTTGCAATTGTAATTTGTAAACAAACACTGTACAGCTTCAAAACATCGTTACAAATAATGTTGATCTCATTTTTGGTCAGTCCTTGCAACCATAGCTCTGTCTATGAATTTGAGTGGTTACATTTCTCCAGCCCCTTCCCTCTGCTGTTTACCCCAAAAAAGTGGCTGGTGCCGTTTTGTTGTTTGAATCCCAAATTGCCCATTTTAACATACTCCCAACTGCCTCTGCTTGGGTGACATGTAGCTGTTCATGTTCAGTGCTTCACTTCAAATCAAAGTGTTTGAGTGACATGAATGAAATGTTGAAAACAAGGCGGGTTTCCTAAGTGACATGACATAAGCACTTCCTGGCACAGCACCCTCGTTGCCTCGGCAGCCAGGTTACCAAGATAACAAGGGTATGTTTGGGAAATAATGAATGGTTTTATTGCAAGGTAAAGTGGTGTCTAATTACCAATGCGTGAGTAGGCAGGATTTGGGTGCTCATTTGCCCTAGGACAGTATTAATAAACATAAACACTGGCCCTTCAGTGGTCTCGGGTGGTCGAACAGTTACTGCCGCTGCCTTCAGAGCACATGTATAGCGGCGTTGGTGTGGGTTCAAATCCAGCCCCATCAGCGTTGGGGTCAATTCAAATTGAAAGAAGTCAATTCAGGAAGTCATTTGAATTAAAAATTGACCAACAACTTTTGAAATAAATAAATACTTAGATGCCCCTTATGCTATTATTGAACTGGAATTTCAGTTTACTTTCTGAGTTGATTGCCTCAGTTTGAGTTGAACCAAGTCTGTAGTCTATGCTCTGTAGCCTTTGCTCTTGTCCCTCTTCACACTATCTCAATCCCCCCCCCCCCCCCCCATTCAGAAAGATCTGTTGAACATGTGACAATACTGTAAAAGAAGCTCCAACGCCCACCACTTTCTCAGTTGCACTGCTGAACTTCAACTTTCTGACCCTCAAATGTTTTTTCTCCTACTAGTCATCCATCATTTGTCCACCAAAGAGCGTCGTATTCGAGCAATAAAGGAAATGGCGAGGACACTGCGTGTGGGCGGGCGCATCATGATTTACGTGTGGGCCATGGAGCAGACACGCCGTAAGTTTCAGAAGCAGGACATCTTCGTGCCCTGGAACCCCAACCCCCCGTCCCCCGCCATGGGCAGGGAGTGGCCCACACCCCGGAGGAGGGGCGCAGCACAGAGCATGAGCGGTAGGTAGCTGGTTAAGGAGGTGCTGGAAGGTTGCTGTTTCAAATTCCGGGCAGGGCAATATAAGAGATAAGCTGGCAATATCTGGAAGGCTGCTGTTTTGTGTTGTTGATCCCAGGTGCAGTCTCCTGCTGTTGTGCCCTTGATCAAGGCTTTTAACCCCTAAAATAGTGTTTGTGTGAATGTGTGTGCGTGCGCACGTGTGTGTGTGTTTGGACTAACCAAGTACGATTATTTTCTTACCTATCCAAGAATGCCTCTACAGTGACAACAAAGACAAGCACAGGAAGGTGAAAAGGACATCGTCCATGCTGGACGAAGAGGAAATAGCCTGCAGTCCCCAGCAGAGCCAGAGGCTGTGGTTCTTCTCACGCTCCCTGGACTCAGTCTTTGACTTTGGCAGCCTGTCCATCTCCAGGTCCACCTCCAGGGAACTCCTCAGCACCTTCTCCTCCCAGCTTGGGGAGGGGAGCAAGGTCGGCCGCAGACGCAGGGGAGCGGGCCTCATCAAGCAGGTGACCAGCCTCTTTTCTGGCTTATCCAGGAACAGCTCAGAGGAAGATGTCTTTGACTCGGTCACCGACTTAGCCAAGAGCCAGAGAGATCATGGGGTGTGCAGCAACGACAACCACTCCAACTCCACAGAGAAGACCAGTGTCTCTACGACCTTGGTCCAGGAGTGTGGCTCTGTGGCCCTGCCTGACCTGGTCTCCTCCTACCAGAGGCAGCACACAGAGGGACCAGGGCAGCCAGGGGAGAAGGAAGCAGGCCCACCAGGAGACCTCAAACAGGGACAGGACAGCAGTCTGAGCCCCCAGGACAGTGAAGGGGAGCCGGCGGCCGCCTCGTGTCTGCGCTATTACCACGTGTTCCGGGAGGGCGAGCTGGCGGAGCTGATCGAGAGCCACGTCGAGGAGCTCCACGTCCTTTACTCCTGCTTCGACCATGCCAACTGGTGCGTGGTGGCCGAGAAGGTCCAGGTTTGGAAGATATGACTTGGTTTTAACAAGTTTGATTTTATTTTTTATCGTGATTTATTCATATTGCGCCTCGATTTAAAAAAAGACACTATTTTTTAAAGAGATGTTGAAGGTACTGTTCATATTCTTCAGGTGTTGTTTTAAGAGTTACTGTGTTTCGCAAATGAAAAGCACCTAATAAGCAGTATCCAGAGACCCAGTGGCAGGGTATACCTGGGCAGCGTCCCAAATGGCACCCTATTCCCAAGACTTCTATCCTCCGTTCCAATGCTGCTATCAATGGACCATCAATAACTATGAAAAATGTCTGCCAAGGAGTCAAGTCATTTCAGTTTTCCCCCTCTAGATTTTGCTCTTCTGTTTTTAGCCATAGAGGTAATTATGCCCCTTAGACTAACCATTGACCATTTATATTATATAGTGGTGGAATGGGTCTCTCATATGCAAATTCTGCCTGTATTTGTCTTCATATGTTCCGCAATATACAATAGGAACCAACCTTGCTGCAACATTCTGTGATGTGTTGGTATCCCTTTCTATGGGTCATGTTCTAAGGAGCCATGTGCTGTTATTAACGCTTAAGGCAAGTGCTATAATGTCAATGCTGTCTGTGTGATTTGGTGTTAATATTTTGTCCAGCTGAACAGGCGCACATCCTAGATGATACTGTGAAATGTTGCACTGTAGGTATGTTGCTGCTTGCTGAATATCAGTGGTTCGCATATGAATAGCTCTCGGAAAACTTGAAACATCTCTGTAGTCATTGAACCGGGGCGGTTGCATAAGCCTGTCAGTGCAGTGCAGCATGTATAGACCCACTGCTATGTTACTGGTGTAGAGATTGATATCTCACCTAGCCTATATTATTTTTGTCAAAAATGTTTTATGGTTGATTTTTAAGTGACATTTTTTAATAGAATTTGTCCGTGTATGTTTTTGTTTACCCCATGAATAAATAATTAGTATGAATCTCTTTTGTGAATGATTTATTGGTCCTAATTATAATCAAATGTTTATTCTACCAATGTTCTCAATTTCCTGATACACCAGGGATGCGGGTACAGAACAACATTTACTATCTGTCAGACAAAATTAGTAGACAACGCTACATAATAGTGTTAGTGCCATCCTATGGCATGCCAGGGAACTACATACATTACAGGTATGTAGGTTAGTATACCACAGTTCGAGAGTGGAATGATACCAATGATGCACAATACCGTGCTGGCTTGGATATTTTCCTTTCACATTGTCCTTTCCAGTACGGTTTCAAGAGTCGGGATTCAATCCAAAACCGCACTATAGCGCGCTTGATATTTAAAGGTCATTTCTAATTGAGCCGATATTACCTTTAAATGCAATCTTCACAAACGCGGTAACATTGCCTTTGAAAGCTGTATTGTCTATAAGCGCGATCGGATTGAATCCCGGCCAAGGCTACTGCAGTACTGGCTTGGCTCAGTTTGGCTCAGCTCAGTAGTGTGAAAAAGGGTTGAGTGAGGTAGCTAAACCTAGTCTCCATCATAACATGCAAGATTTTACCAAAATCAGTAGCATGTAAGAATGCTTTACAAAAACAAATGGCAATCTTTATATTTACAGCACTTTTTGTACATAGTCCCCCAATTTTAGGGGACCAAGAGTATTGTGACAAATTCACTTATGTGTAGTAAAAAGTATTTGGTCCCATATTCATTGCACACAATCACTACATTGTCACGCTCTGGCTCCGGGACTGTGTATTTTGAGCCAGGGTGTGTTCATTTGGTTGTGTTGTATTTGGTTGTGTTTCATTGTTTGGTCGTGTGACTCCCAATCAGTGGTAACGAGTGTCAGCTGTCGGCTCGTTATCTCTGATTGGGAGCCATATTTAAACTGTCAGTGTTCACCTTAGTGTTGTGGGTTTTTGTTCATTTCGGTTCGTGTTAAACCGTAGACGTCACGTTATCGTTTTGATCGTGTGATCTGTATAAATAAAGGATATGTTCACTTTCAACGCTGCGCCTTGGTCATCTTTAACCAACGATCGTGACAGAAAAACCCACCAAGATGGGACCAAGCAGCGTGTCCAGGAGCCATCGCCAGGGAGATCCCTCACAGATCTCCTTCGCCTCCTGGACTGGGTCAAGCCGAGTGAGGAAGAGAAGGGCTTGACATTATGGCAGAAGGGCGAGAGGCTGGCGAGGGACATGGAGACCTGGTCCACGGGTAGGAGAGACGCCCCGAAAATTTTTAGGGGGGGGCTCACGACGTCGGACCAGCAGGAGGCCGCGATAGAGCGGCCCAGTGGGTTGCCGGAGAAGGCCGCCGGGTTACGGGGGCCACTGGTCGAAGAGGGGATGGAGGAAGTAGAGGCACGGCGAGAGGTACTGGCGTGTGTTGCCAGTCCGGTCCGGCCCGTTCCAGATCCCGGTGTAGGACCAGTGGTGTGTGTCCCCAGTACAGTCCGGCCCATCCAAGCTTCCCGCACCAAGCCAGTGGTGTGCGTCGTCAGTCCGGCACGGCCCGTGCCTGCTCTCCGCATCAAGCCTGTGGTGCGTCTCGTCAGCCCGGCTCTGCCCGTTCCTGCTCTCCGCACCAGGTCTGTGGTGCACGTCGCCAGCCCAGTCCGGCCCATTCCTGCCACTCGTACCAAGTCAAGGGTGCGAGTCGTCAGCCGGATTCAGCCCATTCCTGCTACTCGCAACAAGCCAAGGGTGCGAGTCGTCAGCCGGATTCAGCCCATTCCTGCTACTCGCACCAAGCCAAGGGTGCGAGTCGTCAGCCGGATTCAGCCCATTCCTGCTACTCGCACCAAGCCAAGGGTGCGAGTCGTCAGCCGGATTCAGCCCATTCCTGCTACTCGCACCAAGCCAAGGGTGCGAGTCGTCAGCCGGATTCAGCCCATTCCTGCTACTCGCACCAAGCCAGGGATGCGAGTCTTCAGCCTGGTGAGGCCTGTTCCGGCTCCACGCACCATGCAAAGGGTGCGTATCGTCTGCCAGGTCCGGTCCATTCCTGCCTCACGCGCCAAGCCAGGGGTGCGCGTCGGCAGTCCTGATCCAGCTAACTGGGTCAGATCGGACTGGGGGCACTACGGGGGGATTGTAGTAGGGTGGTGGTCAAGCCCGGAGCCGGAGCCGCCTCCGAGGAGCAATACCCACCCAGCCCTTCCCTATTTGGGGTGTAGGCGCGGTCGGAGTCCGCGCCTTTAGGGGGGGGTACTGTCACGCTCTGGCTCCGGGACTGTGTATTTTGAGCCAGGGTGTGTTCATTTGGTTGTGTTGTATTTGGTTGTGTTTCATTGTTTGGTCGTGTGACTCCCAATCAGTGGTAACGAGTGTCAGCTGTCGGCTCGTTATCTCTGATTGGGAGCCATATTTAAACTGTCAGTGTTCACCTTAGTGTTGTGGGTTTTTGTTCATTTCGGTTCGTGTTAAACCGTAGACGTCACGTTATCGTTTTGATCGTGTGATCTGTATAAATAAAGGATATGTTCACTTTCAACGCTGCGCCTTGGTCATCTTTAACCAACGATCGTGACATACATCAAGCTTGTGACTCTACAAGTTTGTTGGATGCATTTGCTGTTTGTTTTGGTTGTGTTTCCGATTATTTTGTGCCCAATAGAAATGAATGGTAAATAATGTATTCTGTCATTTTTGGAGTCACTTTTATTGTAAATAAGAATAGAATATGTTTCTAAACACTTCTACATGAATGTGGATGCTACCATGATCACGGATCATCCTGAATGAATCGTGAATAATGAAAGTTAGAGGCATAAATATCATACCCTCTGTTAAAGGCTTTGGTTTTCCCATTTATATTTTGAGGTTGGACGTTAGCACGTTGGCCGCACTGATTGGTGTCACCTCGTTAGTATGTTTTACACCTGTGCTGGTTTGTCATCTCTTTAGTCAGAAGGCGTTTCGTCCTATATTTAAGAGCGGCTAGCCCGGTGCATGAGTTGGCTTGAGAGATGTGAAGGGTTAACACCTTTAGTTCCTTATTTGATTTGTCTGTTTTCTTTTTGCGCCACTTTTTGGTTTGCTTCCTGTCTGTAAGTTTGGTGTGGGTTTTATTTTGTTTGCCTCTTCTTGGGCGACTTTAGTGGGTGCTCATGGTGGGTGACTTTTAGGTCCCAGTTTGTTGTTGCTAGTCAACTTTCAGTGCACACCCCCATGTGTGTCTTTCAGAACCCGTCCTTGGTCGTTGTCAGTGACTCTTTGTTAGTTCCCCCTTCTGTTTGAGCAACATTTTGGTTTTCTTGCTGGGAACGTAACACCCTTCCCAAAATGCTAACCTCCCCTGTTATTGTAATCGTGAGAGGTTAGCATGTCTTGGGGGTATGATATTTGACGTATTCATTGCATGCTATGAATATGGGACCAAATACTTAACTTTTTACTACTTTAATACACATTAATTTATCCCAATACTTCTGGTCCCCTAAAATGGGGGGGGGGGGGGGGGGACTATGTACACAAGTGCTGTAATTTGGGTGAACAGTTTAGAAAGCTGACAGTCTGCACTTTAACCTCATTGTCATTGTATCATTTCAAATCCAAAGTGCTGGAGTACAGAGCCAAAACAACAAAAAATGTCACTGTCCCAGTACTTTGGGAACTCACTGTAGGTCAACTTTGAGCACCTCTTATCTCCTGAATGTTTTAGCATTCAGGTCCAGAAAGTCACTTTGACCACTTCTAACATGGGCAAACGTATGGAACGTTTCATTCAAATCGAAAGGGTTGCGGTCAAAAAGTGATTGAATTCAAATGGAACGACCTAGGTACTAACTAACCTGCAGACAGGTACTGACCAGTAGAGAGGTACTAAGTAACCTGTAGACACTCAGGTACTGCTAACTAACCTGTAGAAGGGATACTGACCTGGAGAGTGGTACTAACTAACCTGTAGACAGGTACTCCTTGTCCTCCATCCCATCCTCCACACTCATGTCCAAGTCACTCTGCTGTTTACGCACTGGGAAGTTTCTCCCACAATGCACTGAGAACGTGAAAACATCC